AAAAAAAAAAAAAAAAAAAATTAGCCAGCAAGTTAATCTAAAAGGGAAGACAAAATTAGATCAGTATTTTGCAACACCCAGTGAAATAACTGACTGAGGCAAGTATCATGACTAGTGGTTTAGGAATGGGATATCCAATGTGATGCCAAAATATCACCTCACAAAGCAAGTACAAAGAAACACATGTGGCCTTACAACAGAGAGATAAGCAGGTGATTAAATTTAGCACCTTAGCCGGTTCGGTGGCTCAGCCTGTAATCCTAGCGCTTTGGGAGGCTGAGGTGAGTGGACTGCTTGAGCCTGAGGGTTCATAACCCGCCTGGGCAACTTGGTGAGACCTCATTTCTACAATAAGTCAAAAATCAGCCGGGCGTGGTAGCACACGCTTGTAGTTCCAGCTACTTGGAAGGCTGAGGCGGAAGGGTTGCCGGAGCCCAGCAGGCCAAGGCTGCGGGGGCCGGGAGCGGCCACTGCACTCCAGTCTGGGCGACAGAGTGAGACTCCAACTCAAAAAAAAAAAGTTTAGCATCTTAACAGCGGAGCAAGCTGACATCATACCCTCTGGCGTGACTCCACGTGGAATTACACAGTGTCTTTTCTAAAATGCCCAACCTGACTCGTCTAGTGCCTACTGGACAGCAGCAGCTGCAGCAGAGAAAGGGACAAGTTCAACCACACCAAGAGGAAACAGACAGACCGAAGCATAAAGTGGGACCTGGGGATAGCAGTGACTTGAAGAGCCAACCCGCCTGGCTAGCCTGGAGTCCGGCAATGCCTTCAGCATGCCTAGTGACCTATGACTCTTCATGTAGGAACATCTAGTCTCGGTTTCCTTCAGGACAACCCCTGTAGCTGCAGCAATCATGGGTGCTGATGCCCACAGCTTTCTGGAGCATGAATGCTTCTACCCAAGATATAAACCCTGGGTCGGAGGGGTTGTGGAGTAGAGATTGACCTGTCTGGCGGCTGCCCAACTCCACGCTGTCTGCAAGTTCCCCCTAATAAATCACCCTATACCAGCAAACTGGATTTTTCCGCCCCCTTCTTTGGTTTCTTGGTTCCTTCAGCATTTGGGGGGGGAAGGGTCACTTTGCATATATAGTCACTTTGTGAAACATGGGCTGACTCTACAGCTGGTCTGGTTCCAAAAGTCAACGCACAGGAGAGATGAGGACTGACTGTTCAACAGTGATGGAAGAGTTATCACCTTGATGGAGCAGGGACCCCTCTTAGGGCCTCCCCAGGCATGGACATCTCGAGTTTCTTCAAGGGAAGTTCTAGGTACCCAGCTATTCCAGAAAAGCAAACGAGCAACCTGCTGAACAAGAAGGTCATAGCAGCTTAAGATAACAGCCAAGGAAGTTAGAATCAGGATGTGTTTGGTTCCCTATAAAAACTTAAGATAGCTGGGCATGGTAACTCACGCCTGTCATCCCAGCACTTTGGGAAGTGGAGGCAAAAGGATTGCCTGAGCCTGAGGGTTTGAGACCAGCCTGGGCAACATGGCGAGACCGCATCTCTATGATAAATTTTTTTTAAAAATTCGCTGGGCATGGTGGCATACACCTATAGTTCCAGCAACTTGGAAGGCTGAGGCGGGTTACCTGGGCCCAGTAGGTCGAGGCTGTGGTGGCCATCAGCAGCATGTCACTGCACTCCAAATGGGAGACAGTGTGAGACTGTCTCAAAAACAAAACAAAACAAAACTAAAGATAACATCTTAACATATGTTCCTGAGTTGTTTTTCAGAAACCTGTCCCCTCACCAAACACATCCACTGGCACACAGGCCTCAGATAAGGAGGAACTGAGGAGTGAACTCTAGCCACCATTCTTCGTTCTAAATTTCTTCCAAGGGGCCTTGGAGGAGGCCACACCCACGAGCCAGACTTAACATTTTCTGCTGACCCCAAATTTTTAGACAAAGCTTCACCTTCTTAACCAACTGCAAATCAGAAAAACTTTGTCCACCTGTAACTTGTAGCCCCACTTCAAGAAGTCCTGCCTTTTTAGGCCAAACCAATGAATGAGGGAGAGAGGACCCCAAAAAACTCAGAATTATTTCTTAGAGGGTAGGCCCCTTATAGTACAGGCTACTAGTACGTGTTCTAGGAACTCCTTGGTGTCAGTGTACCAGTTACCATTGTCGTGAGAGGCTGCATTCGACTTTGTGTTTTTTTAGCGATTCTTTCGATGTGTTTGCTCATTTCATGATGGGTGACGTCTGAGCACACTGACCCACAATGTGCTGAGTTTTCAGCAGTTTTTGACCAAAAGCCAGCATGACCTTCGTGCCCCACCCTCCCTATTCATTCAATTTCATCCCTAGTGACCTGCTGTCTCCCCGCAAGAAAAAAAAGGCCTCGAAGGGAAATGTTTTGCCGATGTGGAAGAGGTGAAACAAAAAACGGCAGAAGCACTAAAAGACATCAAAATTGATGAGTTCAAAAACTGTGTGAGCAGTGAAAAAAGCATCTCAATAGGTGTACTGCATTAGACACAGAGTACTTTGAAGGTGACTGAACATGTAAGGTTAAATGCACAACTTTAGCCAGGCTCGGTGGCTCAGCCTGTAATCCCGTGCTTTGGGAGGCTGAGGTGAGTGGATTGCCTTAGCCCGCGGGTTCGAGATCCGCCTGGCAACTTGGCGAGACCTCATCTCTACAATAAACCAAAAAATTAGCTGGGCATGGTAGCGCGTGTCTGTAGTTCCAGCTACTTGGAAGGCTGAGGCGGAGGGATCGCCGGAGCACAGCAGGTCGAGTCTGCAGTGGCCGGGAGCGGCCACTGCACTCCAGTCTGGGCAACAGAGTGAGACTCCAACTCAAAAAATATATAAATAAATATAATAAATACACAACTTTGTATAAGTAAATTCCTAGTTTTGGGGGGGTCTCTCTCATGTAACCCCTATGTAATGATTTATAACCTTGACAGTAACCTCTGCCTCCCCACCTTTAAATACCCTTACCTGTAAGCTATCTGGGAGTTCAAGTCTTAAGCATTAGTTGCCCAATTCTCCTTGGTTGGTGCCCTGCAATACTCACTGTAATCCCGTTGTCAGCATTTGGCTTTGCTGTGCTGAGAGGGCGGACTCAAGTTCAGTTTGATAACATAACGGAACACAACACATGAATCTCAGATGGCTACTAGTGCAAAATAGCAGGCCAAAGGCCATGGGGGTCAATGGAAGGACTGAGCTTTGTGCAATGGTCCCATCACTCAGGAGGGACTAGGTTATGCCACAGTAACAAGGAGCTCAAAACCTCAGCGGCTTACAACAAAGATTTACTTCTCATGTCCGTTTGTTGAGCATTGTTTCAGAGGTGTGATGCTCCCCAACTCTTTGCTCTTCACACAAGAGTAATTCTGCATCCCTTTAAGAGCGAGAAATGTTTACTGAAGGGTAGGTAGTTTGGGTGGTTGAGGGCAGTGTTTCTCAAAGTGTGATTCCCCAACCATTTGCACCACAGTTTCCTAAATATTGAAAAATACCAACACTTCACATTGCTATGCAAATGCTTTTAACTCCAGAGTCCCAGTCCATCCCTGTCGAATCAGAACTTAAGGCTAGGGCTATGGTCTGCTACTAGCTTTTGAAAGTCGCTTTCAGCTATGCATTCAACTATTCTATATAAGCTGCCATGCAAAAGAAGTAACTAGAATGGCACCAATAATACCCTTTATTAAAACGGCAGGGATTTGTGTTTTTTATTTTCTTGTATCAGGTACAATGATATATATACTCTTTTGAGATAATTATTCTAGATTCCAAACATACACTATTCCAAATATATATTACATATATAGTATCTTGTAAATAAATATACTTATAAAATACGCTATATATATATTTAAATGGGCTCCACATTTTCTTCAGTTAATCAAGGTATGCTAACGTACCCTGGACTTCTACATGGCAAAGCCAACAAAATAACTACATCTTGGCTGAGGAAGATCGATCAATGTCACTAATAAAAAGTCTACAGTTGTTCTATAGAGTTTTGTAGACGATCAGCATTTTACCCAACTTGAAATGCCATCTGGACATTTCTCACTATTCTAAAACTGACCTTCCACAGGAAAATTTCAAAAGAGGCCTGACTGATACCACCCCCTGCTCTGCTACCCCACCAAATAAGTAGAAGTTTTATTAAAAGAGCTCCTTTCATCTTTATTTACTCAAGATTCCCCAGGCAACTTCTAGCCTAACTGACCTATGCAGGACATCTCCAGCAACACTGTGTTCTTCCCAGCCCCATTCACTGTCCTGTGCTGACACCTAGCTCTGCCTTCGGAGACGTTTCCTGGAGTTTGTGTACTTGCCAGGTGAGTCCTGCCTTCCACCAGGAAGTTGGCCAAGACACAGCAGACCGCCGACTGCCACACGAGCAAGGACAGGGATAAAAAACACATCCTGACATTGCCACTTACCTCTGCTGAGCCTTGAGACCAGTCTGCCTATTTAAATATTTTGGAAATTATGTTTGTATATAACAGGAATGATTTACCAACAAGCTTCTGGAAAATGAACAATCTAGCTTTATGCTGTTCCATGGATGTAACGTGTAGGCACCCCGCCTGGGTGAGGTGAAAAAGAAAATGACAGCGACAGTCATCCCATCTGCTTTTTCCGAAAGAAAAACACTGAGTCAAACACGAACATTTAATTACCTTTAAATAGTACATGAAATAATTTACATGCTATACATTCCCAAACATACTGAACGTAACCAGGTTTTTAAGACACATACACAATCCGGTTTTTGCCCACACAGAGCCGTAGGCCACTTGGGATATCATCTGACTCTTCAGTACTTGTGTGAGCGGATAAACACACAGATATGTGTCTGAAACTTAGGACTGTAACCAAGAGCTGAAGACAAGGAGTCTGCCACAAAGATTCTAAAACCACGGCCAGTAGCTGGATACCAAGGCACAAAAGCTTCCCTTTGTGGTCACAGAGATTACGTTTCCGTTCCCAGTGCTTAAATATGAAAATAGGATTGGTTAATCACACAGTATATTTTATAGTGCATTTCTGTTACTGTTTAAAAAGGAGTATTTTTCTTATTATATAACATATTACAGAAAAGCATTGGAAAAATAAACAGGATAAGCTCTCATACAATAAAGCTTTCTTTTACTTGAAAAAGATGTTTATGTAAAAAACTAATATAACAACTATAGGTATGTTAGAGAGAGGGGTGAGAACCTAGGCAGGTTCCTAACACCCCGAGTCGGACCTCAGGACACCATGGTACTTAAGGTTTCCATTTTATAGCCAGTTGGGTGATACTGCCAATTGCAAGTGATTTCTTTTTTTGCAATTTAAAACTTTTTTGGTGATTTAATACATATGATAAACAATTATGTAACGTGGCAAAATGAAATCCTTTCCAGAGTTTTAAGTTGCTTTTGGTAAACATTAACTTTGTACTAGGCTCTCCTTAATTTTCTTTTTTTTTTCTTTATATTTAACAGAGAAGAAAAAAATGTTTCACATAGAAATGACTGTTTTAAAATTCATGCCACCAAGCAAAATCGAAACTATCAGTACTTCCCTTTTGATTTTACCCAAAAGTTTTTGGGGAAACTAAAAGTTAGATATTTTAGGAAAGGTAACTTGTTGAGAGATAAGGCAGTTTAAATATATACATATATATAGTATTGTTCACTGATTCTGAGAACAGCTTTAGAGCTTTAGATCTTTAAAATTACAGTTATCAAAGGAATAAAGCCAACCACAAATAAGGATCAGTGGATTGCAGTCATCCATACAGAAAAGACAGTTAAATCTGCTTACACACATTCAAAAAATCAAGAACCTAAGCGGTAAATAATAGATCAGCAAATGTAGCACTCAGCAAATGATCATCAGAAGAAAACCTTCCGTTCATTATTCCTGAGTATGCCAGCAGGCAGATAACAGGGACTGAATGGTGCTTCTGCAGGTGTCTCTGGCCAAGTACTGTGGCAGGCGAGCCCAGAAGCAGGAGAGCGCAGCCCTGGAAACACAACACAAGGCTGACCGAAAAAAACAAGCAAAAGCCTCACTGTCGGCTATGAAACTCAAGGGGGAAGAACCAGCTGGGGATTTAAGGCTTTCTTAGAAATATTTTCATGGCACTTCAACACCGAACATCACTAAAAGGCAAAACATGTAAGTGTTCATAGCCACAGCTACAGAATGAATGTACATGCTATACCAATTAGTAAGGAACTATTTTGTCAAGTTTTGTTTTCTCGAGTTAAATTATACCTATGGAAGAGTATTCACGTTTGGCTGTAATTAACATAAAAAATCATACAGAAATGTCAATCCACTAGTGTACAGTGCAAATTATGTTTTGAGTAAATCCACCAAATATCACTCATGTCTTCCAGAACTGAATGTTGTTCCTTGCTAGAAATGCAATTAACCTGACTCATGTCTCTCAAGAGCAGTTATTATCCTGCCTCCCACTACCAGCCTACGGTTAAACTGTAGATGGTCACTGGACAAATTCTCTTGATCACACACACAGACCACCCTCACAACAACCCACTTCCTACACTACTGCAGTCCAAAAACCACTCCTGAGTCTAACACGTCATTCTCGCCACACCATACTCCAGGCTGACCACGGCAGGCTCTGGCTTGGAAAACTCTTCTGCATACTCGCTGTAGCGATTATCTGCTGGGTTGCTGCCCTCGATAGTTCGGAGAGCATCATTCACAGGGAGTAGAGTCTGCTCCTTAAGACACAGGGATGTTTTGAGGGCAGGTGATTCGGGACAAATCGAATGTAACAATTCCTTGGTGAGGATGCCATCTGTTTGCTTATTTTTGCACTGCTTAATTTTCTGGAACAAACACAAATTAAAAAAATATATATATTAACTGCACATACCACAAGGTCAATGCATGTTAGATGAAAAAAGAATGAATGTACATGCCATATGAATTAGTAAGGAACTATCTTGTCAAGTTTTGTTTTCTCGAGTTAAATTATACCTATGGAAGAGTATTCACATTTGGCTGTAATTAACATAAAAAATCATACAGAAATGTCAATCCACTAGTGTACAGTGCAAATTATGTTTTGAGTAAATCCACCAAATATCACTCATGTCTTCCAGAACTGAATGTTGTTCCTTGCTAGAAACGCAATTAACCTGACTCATGTCTCTCAAGAGCAGTTATTATCCTTCCTCCACATTTTGCAAATGTGCTCTTTATGTATAATTCTAAATTACATAACAAAAATTAGTAACATCTAATGCTTATGACATGGATGAAGATTTTAACTGTTTACAAGTTTTGCAGTGGAAAAGAAGTAGTTTTTGTATTTATTAAAAAAAACAACAACAATTCAGTCAGTCTTTACTGCAGATCACTAGGCCTTCACATTTGGAAAGGACATACATTACCTAGAAAGCATACCAAGTAAACACTTCATAATAAATGTATATGAAACATTCACCCTGAAATGACAACAATTACAGACTTATTTAGCTAAAGGCATAAAGAGCTTTTCTTATGTGGTTTTCCTACAGCACTGTGTTTTAACAGGAGATTTTAAAAGCAATCTTGGTAGAGCATTCTGTCCGAATTCCTGAACCGTCCAGATGACCTTCCTGCACTACCTGTACCTCAGACTTGCCTCTTCTTGCCATGCCCTTTCACGGTCTACTCAAGCAGTCACTATGTCTTTACTAAGAGATGACTAAGGGACACCCCCAGTTAAGGGGAGGCAAGATAGGCTTATGAGTGATAACAAGCTGACTAGGATTTCAAGAATATATATGTACTTACTGATCCTTTCTGCTTACATATGGTGGCCGAGAAAAGATTAAAGGGAAGTCTTAGGGTGGAGAGAGATTTGTTAAACAAGACACACACAAAAAAGCATAAAACAAAGATCGATCAATTTGACATAAAATTGGAAACATCTATATAAAGCATACCATAAGTCAGGTGGAAACGACAAGAATATGCTGGACAAAGCCATTTGCAATATACATAAAACTAGCAAGGACTCAGCGTCTGATATATAAAGAACACTTACACATCAATAAAAAAAAGGCAAGTGTTCCCACAGAAAAATGAGCAAATACTTGAACTGTCCATTCATAGAAAACGAAAACCAAATGGTCAACAAACATAAAACATCATTTTCATTTGTAATCATGGAAATTTAAAACAAACAATTTAAATACTCATTAATGACTGAGTGGAGATGCTGTTATATATCCATACAATAGAAAGTTGTACAGTAGTTGTTCATAAAATAGATGAACTGAAGCTCCATGTATCAACATGGTAAATTTCAAAATAATGCTGAGCAAAATGACGCCTAAGTCAGTGTGTCCCCTTTCCACGCTTTAACCATGCAGTCCCTTACTCTGAGTGAGGGCATATGGGCACGGATGACGTGTGCGGCCCTTCACAATCCATACCAATACTACCGTCAGTCTCAGGCACTTTTCCCATACATATCCAATAAAAATAATATTTTAAATCAATAAAAAAACAGTATTATAAATGATTTGTGGATGCTTATAATATTATAACATGCATAGCGTTGAAGAACAGCAACTTCAGACAGTGGCTCTGCCCACCTCAAAGCACACGGTACACATGGTCTCAAACAGATCTGGGTTTTACTCTCAAAACAAAAACAAGAAAGCTCTCAAGCATACATGGTAAATGTTACAATCTCATAAAGCCAGGGGGTTTATCTCTATACTGTGCTATATAGTCTAGCCAGCCTTGACTGCAGATCACTAAGCCTTCACATTTGAAAAGGAAATAATTACCTAGAAAGCATACCAAGTAAACATTTCATATTATATGTATATGAAACATTCACCCTGAAATGACAACTACTATAGTCTTATTTACCATGCTTATCTCTATACTGTGCGATGTACTTCAAGCATAAAATACAGGCCAGGTGCAGTGGCTCGTATCTCTAATCCCAGCACTTTGGGAGGTCAAGGCGGGAAGATCACTTGAGCCTAGGAGTTCAACACCAGCCTGAGCAACAGAGCGAGACCCCATCTCTACTAAAAAAAAAATCGAAAATGAGCTGGGCATGATAGTGCATGCCTGCAGTCTCAGTTATTTGGAAGGCTGAGGTAAGAGGACTGCCTAAGCCCAGGAGGTCGAAACTGCAGTGAGCCATGATGGTGCCACTGCACTCCAGCCAGAGTGACAGAGTAAAACCCTAGGGAAGGAGGTAGGGAGGAAAGGAAAAGGGAAGGGAGGG